TTTGCCGGTTTTGTTTCATCAGCCGTGGAATGAGGATCGAAAGTACATATAAAGTGCTTCTTAAGATATTTGAAGGAGAAATTGTAATATCTCTTTCATCGATTTTTCAATTATGTCTTCTATAGTATATACAGAATACGAGCAAAAGAATATTCGCATTCAGGGAATATAAAACTGAAGGAGCCTATGATGAAACAAGCTAAATACACCTTTCCCAACGTACCAAGCAAAGTGTGCCAAAAGATAGTCTCGCTCGTAAATAAATAAAGGCCAATCCTACTGTTCCAAAGGGCTCAATAACGATAAGGCAGAGGCGAAAAGATGGAAGCCATCCTGCTGACAGGATTTAGGTTCCCATGAACAGGACTCCCCTTTTATCACCACCTTCGAGAGATGCAGCTCGCCGTTTCTCGTTCTCACCCCTCGTTCAACTGTCGAGGTCTACCTCGACACGTTGAATCGAACGAAATTCCAGTAAATTTATTATTAGACATCTGCAGAATTGATGACAGTTCGAGGCATCCGTCTTATACATTATTAAAGAAATTTTGCAAGTTTTATACTCTCCAAGGAACTCCCTGTAGTTTCTTTCAGCTCGAATCTGTTATAATAGTACTTGTACCGCAAAAACGTCGACACAACGTTGAAGAAAAAGTACAAAAATATTAATGAACATTTTCGAACAACTTGTTTCATTTCTCGTCGAGCAGGTGCATCGTTATTGTCACGAATAATTTAAGCTGCTTACGCGAGTTGAAATTTACAAGTAAAACAGAAAAATGGAAAGCGAGGTTTACCGCGTGTCTGAAGCGAGACGACGAGGTTCACGCGTTGGAAGAAGCGTGCCCGTGTCAGAAATTTCAGCGACGCGCGAGACGTTTATGAAGTTCCCGCGCAATTTCAAAGTTTAATAACTTTTCACATATGTACGTGTCTCGCGCGAGCGAAGTTCATAGATCGCTCGGAGGAACAATTCGGGAAGTTCTCAGCCGTCTAGGCCGGGAACGCCTCCACAGGCATCGAAGTCGCTAATTTTCGAGGTATTGCCGCGGTGATCCCTGTTGAACGTGAGGATCCGCGAATTGAATCTATATTGACTCGCGTTAAGTGGAATGCCGGATTCTGTACGCAAATCTAACGCGAGGTTAGCGGTCTGCTGACATTAACGTTGTCGTAACACCTCGGAGTTCGGTGGAACACATGATCAACCAATAGCATCGAGTGTCAACAATGGAGAATTAAAAATGAAAAATGCAGAATTCTAAATGACACTAGAATTTCTTAATATTAAATAAACCCAGTGAATAATATTTTAGTTGCGATGTAAAGAATGTTGAAGCACACGTTACCATTTAAAAAATACACCGACGAATCGAATATAAGATCAGATTAAAATCGAAAGACGTAATGATTTTCGAAAGCGACTACCCAGCGATAGGTAAACGTTAGCCCCTTGAACTATAATTGCATTCACAACTATTTCACTGTTTACAATTCATTGAAAAATGAAAACAATCCGCGCTTGTTCTATGTATATACACGTTTACTCTTTAGCGCCGTAATTGATATTAGAAAACTAATATTCCACTCGAACTTAGAAAGGTTAAGTGAGTCTTTACGATACAAATAATCCTTACAAAACTTCTGACAATAAATGTTCTTCGGTGTTTTCATATATTCAAGTGAAACTATTTATTTTCCAAATCATTTCAGACACTTAACACTTTCAAGATGTTAATAATCGCGAAATAGGAAAATTATTCTGGTGATACTTTAGTGCTACATTACGTACCGGCTAATTTCCAGAAAACTGAATTGTTAATGACGATTTTCAGTGAGATCAACTTATATCACTACATACAGAAAAACTCAGATACCAAATTCTTATGTAATATATTTTAAATAGATAATCAATTCGAATCAAATTTATTATTTTCTGAAACGCTGTGACAATTAGCAAAATTGCACGGCTAAGTGTCTATACGTAAAAATGAAATTTCTCGTTGCCGGTGCGCAATGTGTTAAGAAACGAACGAAAACTAATAATGCCATCGAGATACCAGCGAAGCAGACCAAAGTCAAAAAGCGAAAGCGTAACCGCCGTCGTTGCTAGCTGAACGATCAGAGGGAGCTCATTCGAATCAATAGATAAGACGCAAACTCGTGAGCTCCGGTACCCTAAACGAGTGGAATACCGTCGGGGCTGGCCCGAAACAATTAACAAGGAGGGAAGAAACTAGCGAACTCCTAAACTGACCTAACTCTGCCGAGAGTCGTTATGCGTGATTTCGATCGTGTCGCTGGAATCCTCCCTCGTCGTATCTGGCTTCGCTCGGGTCCCGGTAATTGCTGCTCCGAAACAAGCGCGATAGGAACACGGTCGGAAGACACTTCTGTCCTCCGGTTCTTTTCCGTGAAGGGTGGAGAGAGGCGGAACGAGGCTGCGGGCAATTTGAATCGTCCGTCTTGTTAGCGCCGATAGACAGAAAGAGGAATGGCGGCTGCTTCGTGGATACCGAGCTCACCGCGAGATGATACGCTCGGTTGACAGCACGTAATCGTTCGAATATTTCGAAGAATTCGTTTCTTCTATATGTATTTTCGTTTGTAGATATTTCCGAAATATTATTAAATAGGTACTATAGAACGGAATCTAAGAATTGAAGCTGCAACATTTTGAACGGAATAATTCAAGTAGTGGTTCGGTAAACTGTTTAAGAGATGAAGGTTTAAAATGGATAAAATAGAACTTGTTTCACATAATATTATAGATATATTTTATAAACATTCTGAAAGGATGTCTACTATTGAGATTTAAATTATTGACGAAATTATGACATTTTGGATTAAAGGATTCTAGTTTATTCGAGTTCCAATTAGAACCTATATCAGTCTTTTCCAATCCGTATCACGAACGGAAGCTAACTTTCTCAAACAAAACCTTAACGTTTCCTCTGTCACACTATTATCCGTTCATTTTTCTAAACTTCGAAGAACATTTCGAACAGGCGACAGTAACGGGGAGAATATTCTGAAAATATACGTATCCAGCAAGGTTTCAAACGATTATGCCGGCAAGAAGCAGCAAGAATGACACAAAGGAGCCCACGACGGCAGAGCCACAGGGTAAGGAGGTAAAAGGGTGGATGAAACGTCGGCGGTCTCGGGGTGGAAAAAGGAAGAATGGACGGACAGCCTCGCGCCGCGTGAAATTGAAGTGGATTTGTGACAAGTGGCTGCTAACGACGTGTACACAACCGATGGACGCCGGTCCGCATAGAAAATGAGACCCGGGAAACCCGGTCGAACGCGCGAACGCAGCCCCGTTGTTCGCCACGCTGGAACTGCTGGCCTGCCCATCGATATTCCCCGTTTAATCTTGCCTTCGACGAGTAATGGCGACAGTTGAATTACTCTTCCCGGCTCATCCGTCGTTTTTCTTGTTAAGAGTCGCTGCCCGGGGTGTTTTAAATGGGAACCGGAGCGACAGCGTTGATGACCGTTGCCGCGATGGCCGCCCTAACCCCAAAGGTTTTAACGTCACCGTGCTGTTATGAGAAGACGGACAGTTCGTAACGGGCAAAAATTGTCGGCGACGAGAGTTTTAGATTGTAATCGTTATGGTCCGGCAATTGAAACTTCGCCGCGTTTTTGCTCGAGCGCACTTCAGGCTTTTCAAGGGTTTTCGGGCCGGGCGTGAAACGGGGATGACGCCTCGAGGACTGTTATCGAAATACGCTGTATAACGAGATAATGAACGTGACCCGTGTTCGGTGCTTCTGGCCTAGGATTTGGGAATCACGGGAAATTCGATTGGTAGATCGAGGATCTCTATGGAAATTCCTATTCTCGGGAGTAATAGATTTGAAAGAGGAAAAATAGGAAAATCGATGGAGGAAGATTGATCATTGAGAAAGATACAAAAAAATGGTGTTATTATAGAGCGTGGATTTTCCTAACAAATATTTTAACAGCTACGCTTTGGATATTTCGTATATTTTTCGTATCGCGTGCATTCTGCGCAATTGTGCACTTTTAAATTCCCCTTAAATGTATAAAAATCAGCAGTTTTCTAATTGGGAACGCCAGCGGTTTTCAATGGAATGTTTTTTGGTAATTAGAGATTTTTGTAACGCGCCTGTCGGCTAGGCGGGATGGACGAAGGTATTTTTGGCGTGATTTTTTCCCTGTTGTTTCCATTGGCGAACGGTTCCTCGGAAGTTTGGGGATGGAATTAGAACTCCGGAATAACGAGGCAAATAGATTCCGAAGTTCAGCAACTGTACTGGATTGTCGAGAAGTATTTTGAACCCCCGTATTGTTCAGAACTTCGGACTTTGTAGCTCTGTCGGCTGTCAAACTTTAAAGTTTGGAATTTCAGTGCCCCGCGAAGACGCGATTGTGTGCACGGCGAGATTCATTGGGGTAGTTTTCAATTTTCTTAAGATTTCTTCTGCCTCTTGGTCTTGAACTTTAACCGTTTTCAACTTGCGCAACCTTCTAAATAAGTATACAGGTTGGCTCTGATTAAAATTCATTATTACCACGTTCGTTACCAGCGTCGCATATTTGCGACGATTAACGTTTCGTATTTTGTGCAGAAAAAAAGGGCAATTACATTTATGTGTATTTTCATATAATATTGTAAGGCATGATACAATATGGCGGAAGTCGTGGAAATTTTTTCTCTTAAGTATTATTTATATTCTGTAAAGGCGATATGTTTTATTTAATGAAATATTGTAACTGTGAAGACTGTTACTGAAAGAAACACTGGTAGCGCATGGGTTAAGCAATTAACACCTACAACTTAGTTAATGTAATGAATTATCTACGTCTTTGTTTTAATGAAGTAACTTCAAATAGTCTGACTAAATAAATATATAATGATCCTAACAGTCTAACTGAATAAATATATTAAATTATTAAATGTAGTTTGAATAGTGATATATAAATTGCAATGTATTTTTTACTGAGCTAATGTATACATTCTGTTTCAGGAGGATCCATGACTCCCGAGCACAAAGCGACGCAAAACGGCACTAGCCTCCAATTACAAGTGAGTTTCGCCATTACCATTCGCGTTCAAACGTACAACAGAATCGGAAGTTAAATGAAAAAAAAAGAGGAAAAGAATACTGTTTCAATTAATTGGAGAAGTTCACTCTATAACTTCCGTCAACTCCAATTATTTCAGTAGCTTCATTGATTAAAATGTTTCAGGCAAAACCATTGCAAAACAAGGGAAATATAATGACATTACCGGAAACTAAATAATTCCCCGTGGAAGAAATTTCTTTGTAAAGTACCAGATGACTTACTTGGTTAAAAATTGCGAGTAAGCTCTAAACTAAAATTTATGTGTACAGTTTTATTGCCGTAGCTCTTAACGCGTTATATCAGGCACATTATAGCGCTTGTTCCTTTTAGGTAATATATACAGTGGCCTACACATTCTACGATCATAACGATTGCTTTCACTTGGAATATAGTAATAATCTCTTCTTCGAATTAACTCTTCGGAGCCTCGCAGCTGAGCAGGAATAAAAATCACTTAATAGAGAGAAATCGTAAAATCGGTACGCTCGACGTAAATCGACAAAATCAACTCCGATAATACGAAACACCTCGTAGTGTATTGAACGTAGAATGATACTATGCGAAATGATAACACGAGAAACAAAAGAACTCGTATACCAACAAAATAGATTTGAATTCAAAGCAACCGGCCAACTTCCGGAAGGAGTTCAAACTCTCGCGCCCGTCAATCTTGCAGCGTAAATATTTGTATGTCAATTACTCTCTTTCCTTCCACCTTCACAGAATCCAATTTGCCTCGGTCTGTTCCGAGTATATTTGCTCGTATAAGTTTGAAACACCGAGCGCCATCGCTCCGCCCCGGATAAAGCAATCCTTCGCGACGTGACACCTTTAAGGAACGCTTACGAGTTCGTGGCAAACTTTACCTTTGCTCTTTCTTCAGTTTCCTCTTCCTTCCTCGCCCGACATTGTGAAAAACCACTGGACTGTGCTCCGTGGCGCAGACCGTGAATCTGTGTACAGCGGTTGCGATGCTCGTAATCGTTCCGTTGTTAATCGTGTAAAGGGTTGATCGTCTTGAAGAAAGTATTGTTCTGTAAAGTAGAAAATTTTAAATAAAATTACAATAGGAAATTTCTCTAACGAATATTATAAAAAGCATTATACCATAGATGTGCTGTGCATTTTTTCATATAGTGTCCATGAAATTTGACACTTTCAAATTTTCTATAATCGCATAAAAATTCACAGTCTATCAATACGTTGATTGCTACTACGATCATCGATGACCGGAGTGTCCAAATTACTTGAAAATAATTTTTCAGACAACTAATGCCGAATGGAAACGTTAAATGGCGTAAATAACTAGATAACAGTGTAACGTAAGCATTGCGATACCAAATAATAAGCAACTGTTCCCTTTTATCTTTGCCAGAAAGGAACAAGCAATACATTAAACTCCGAAGGTTTTCGTGACAGTCCACGTGGTAACAGACTGCAAATTGTTATCCATTTTTATGCAAGAAATATACACAACCCCCGGGTATAATTCCTTCCATAATATTTCTCAGGAAAAACTAGTTGCCATCGTAATTTTATGTTTCTCAACAATAACCTTAAAATTTTGAATTCTCCAAAAGAATGATTCATAAAAAATTTCCCCTTAACCAACCTATAACTCCGACTCTATAAATCTCTATAATTCTCTCAACGTCAGCTCTATCTTCCAGCCGAACCCACGAACGTCCGCCTAAAAAAGCCGGAACCTCCCCGAAACCTCTAAAAGCACAACCTCGGCGCAACAGTGGAATATTCCCGAAATCCCCGAGCTCGTTTGAAAAATTCATAACAATCAAAGACGAGCCCGCGCAGAGCGGCCGTCGCTCTCGGCGGAATCGTCCCGACGAATAATATTTTCCGAAGCGAGCCGGCTCGTCAAGCATCGAGCGATCGCTGGACGCCGCGTCACGTCGTTCGTTTCAATTCATCGGTCGGAAGAATGATCTCAATGGAGACCGTTTGCTCCAATTATTGGCCGCGTAATTCGTCCGTCTCGCCGGTGTTTCGCATAATTGTGCAATCGGCGCTCGATGCCTCTTCCCGAGCGGATCCTCTCGTAAATGCCCGGCCGGGAGAACAACGAATCATTGTAATCGTCGAAACGAGAACAACCGAGCGGAGCCCGCGTATAATGGCCGGCCTGTGTATCACGGTGACGACCGGCTCCTCGTTATCCTGTTGGAAGCCCGTGAATCACTCGACGTGCGAGAAATGACGAATTAGCGGCGTCGATAGACAGAGCGTTAGTCAGGAGGATCGTTAGTCACCGGCTCACACCTCCTCTGCCGTCGGTCCCGTTCCTCTTTAGTCGTTTCCCTTTTGCTCGCGTTCCCCACCATCGCCTAACGCTGCTGATCCCTTCCTTCTTCGCTCGTTCCTTTCAGACGCCGCTCGTTTCTTCCTTTTGTCCGCTGTTCCTTCCTCGCTCGACGATCCGTTCGACTTTCGAACCCGCCTCACCTTCGATCAATTACAGATCTCCTCTTTTTTTCGTTGTGTTTCGTTTATTCGCTTCGACCGGTTGACTGACACCAGAATTTCTAGCGTTTCGCGTGGTGCCGCTTATTCTTTCGTAATGAAGACGAATGACGTTCGTAATGACCGTTAATGGTTTCGCGTCAACGTTTTTGTGGTTGATATTATCTAGTTACGTAAATGTTTTTATTCGATGCCGATTCTCTTATTGCAATTGTTTTCGAGTGGTTTGACAGATTCGTTGTCCTCGGCGACTAGTGGGTTTGTTGGTATTTAATTGGTATGGGTGTCGTAGCGGTGTTGTGAACGATTTGAAAAATTGCTGGTTTTTATAGAGTTGTTTGTTTAATAAATGAATATGAAACTTTAATTGGAGAGTACTCAACGGCGTAAAAAGAACAGAGAGTATGGATGGAAGAAAATAATAGCGAACGAAAGCGTGGTTAGCTAGTGCTTCTTGCACGGTTGCTTATTGAGCAGTAAAAATGTATTTATTAATAGAAATGTTGAAATTATCATTTTAAATGTGCAATATTTTATGCTGCGGCTCTTTAACTTTTGTCGTAATGAATTACGATGTCGGTAGATAGCTGCAGACAGAGATAAGACAAGTTTATGTGATGCCGGCTGATAACCACTGACTAGCGAAGTCATGTATGCGTGAGAGCGTTGTTAAAATCGCACCTAGATCGAGGTTATTAGCAGCTGTGTAAGATGATTGTTACATTGTAGTACACACAGAACACTCGTTCATTATATTTTTCCTATCCGACTATCTATTCACAAAAACAGTTTCATTCCTCGACACAATATTGTGTCAACGATTTAAGTTTTGAATTCGACTGATCAATCGGTGCTTGTAATTAACAAGAGAATAATCCTTAACAATCGCAATCGATAAAAATACAAAAGTACGTCTATATAGAAACTTTACCAATGAAGTTTTTGTTTTATTATCAATTATTAAACGTACTGTCTTACCACTGAATTTGTCTCTAAAACAAATCGTTCAAAACATCGTTTGAAGTTAAAGAAGCCACCACGACTGTTCATATATAGTTAACTGGTCGAAGAGCTGCCGCAATACAAACGAATCAATTTTCCAGCCGATTACCGAGACAGGATCGTTCAGTTTGAAAAGAATCTATATCCTCCGGCAGGCCACTTCCTTTCCCACTGCGCGGACCGAATGCCCGCGGCGTTTTTAGAACGTCGATGCGTTACTTAGGCCATTATTTAAGTGGCGCGCTAGGGGGACATTAAGTCGTTTGTGAAGTGCAATGCTATCACGACGTGTCCTTGGCGAACCTGTTATTGGAATTCATGGTGAGTGACACAAAAGAAGGGAAAAAAACCGTAACGACGAGCGCGACGCCTGTGTGCATTGTGTGGGAGAGTCGGTATGTACGAGAAATACAGTATACCACCTCCTGGCATAATGCGAGCCTCGCAATAGAATTACTATCGCGCTGGGCGTGCACGCGCGTCACTCTCTACCAAATTCGCTTTCTAACTTGCATCCGAACAATCGTCGATTAGTCGCACTCGAAACGCGTGACGACAATTCCCATGATTTCCTCTTAACATAGTAATCCTGTATCAGGCGTGATATTATTAGTAGTGTATAATGTAATACGATTAATTACTTTTTTGTGACTGATAATTTAGAAGTATTCATAAAAGTCAATATTTATATGACTTCTTTGGTAATAGAAATCGTTCTGTCGAGTTCCGGTCAGTCTATTTATTTCAAAGATTCTATAACTTTCTTAATTATCGGTAGAATCGTTTCGAAATTTGTTCTAAAATATTATGAGTAGTATAGGGGAATATTGAATATTTATCTAAACAAGTTGTTTCTCTGAAATTAATAATATTCTGGTTCAGATATTCTATTTGGAAAATGTGTAATTAGCTCAGCTGCTCTGTTTAAAATGGAGATAGCAAAAGCTCGTTTATCAGAGGAAGAGAAACTGGACACGTCAAAAGCCAGTTCACCAATTAGGAGCTAAAACGTTTCATTTATCCCTCCGCTTCTCGAACACCGACATTCTTTTTTTTTCCATTCGGCGTCGAAACAATACGAGACAGCGTCGCGTCGCCATTTTCCACGGTTCTCTCTCCGACTCCTTGCGTAATACGCTAGTGATTCACGAGTATTTACTGCCGCGCAGAACTGAGGTCAACATAAGCGTGACTGAACAGCAGAGCCGCCAATAATTCAAACGCGGTATCCCGATATATTTTTACGACAGATTTGCATTTAAATGGTTCGCGATAGTTGCCGACGAGCGTAATACTTTACAGTCGTCGAACATCGCCATAACGAATTCTTCGCTTTTCGGTGTTCGACAGTTCCCATGACGTTTGGACCGGCTGTCGTGAAATAGAAATGGAGGAACAATCGGCGCCAAGGTAAAAAATTAGACGAAAAAGGTTAGAAAACGAATCATCCTTTTATAATATCGTGATAGACTCGTGGAGGAGACTTCGAATATAGTTCAACGAGTTTAAATGTCAGTTTCTTTGAATCAGAATGGAGCATTATGTTTCTTGTTACTAATTTGTATGGTTCAGAGTTCATTTAGAGAAAGGAAGAGCGTGGAAATCGTTATTCTCCTAAAGTAGAGTATTGGCTTAATTAATATAAGTAGATTATTAATCATAAGTATTTTTAACGACATTAATTATGAAATTAAATTATCGGGCAAGGGATCAATGTGATAAGAGAATTATAAAAATTCAGTTCAAGGGTAAGATGGAAATTATTTAACGCTAAAACTATCGGAGCAGTCAATTGTCTCGCTCGAGAATTTTTATTTTGCAAGTATTTAAG